AGCAGAATGTTGCAGATGCTATGATAAAGCAACTCTGGATTTATTGAGAAGAAAAAATTCAGAATAATTCCTGTATGTAATCCATGATAACTGTATATGATAACCCATTGTAATACATAGCTTTAATAAAGTTTTATTAAAATATGTATAGATTTACTTGGGGAAAAAAAACTGGAAGGACATACATAAGATACAATCCTATCTTTGGGTGGAGAGCTGTGGAGTAATTTCAGTTAACTTATTTTCTGTGTACTAGAATGAAAAAATAAGGTTATTAGGGCTGTATTTCAGGAATGTTTGACACACACAGTAGAATTTTGTTACTTGATTTTAAAAATTGATAAATATATAAAAATAATTGGAAGACTTGTGTAATTGAATGAAAAAATAAGGTTATTAGGGCTGTATTTCAGGAATGTTTGACACACACAGTAGATTTTTGTTACTTGATTTTAAAAATTGATAAATATATAAAAATAATTGGAAGACTTGTGTAATTGCACTGATGTAGATTTTTCTCACAGGACAAGGAAATAAAAATCCTCACTCTGCCTTTTTAATTAACAGATCTTCTCACTCAGATATGGCAACAAGCAGCCTTCACTTTGCATCATGTGATACACAACAGGCACCCAGACAGCGTGGAGCATCTACTGTGAACAGGTCAGGAAGGGTCGTGGGCATTCCTGGGGGAAGAGGAGGGAACAGTCCAACCCCTGAAGGAGTAGAATACTGATATTTGCATAGTGCATTGTGTTTGACAAACCAGTGAGGTCAGGAGATGCCTAGGCAAGTAGAGTGCCCATTTTATAAACAGGGAAGGAGAAACGGTGGCTGCTCAGGGACTCAGTAAATAGGTGGCACTGTTACATGAAAGCAAAACAAAATTCAACTTTGGGGCACAACTCCGTTTCCAGTCTTTTTTGTCTTTAAATATTTTTGGCAGTTATTTCTATTATAAAATAGTAAATCACACTGCCAGACATTGGGGAAAATGGAGGAAAGGACAAACATCAACCATAATGATGGCCACTTGAACACAGAATTTTGGTGTATTTCCTTCCAGTCTTTTTCCTAGGCATGTGCTTCTTGATAGAGTTGTAACCATAATAGACTTTTTCATCAAATATTGTATTATGATTGTTTCTTTCTTACATTTTTTGCATAATCTTGGTTTAAAAATACATTTTAAGAAGTGTTCATTGTAGAAAATTCAGAGCTATAGAAAGCACAAAGAGAATGAAATATGTATTACTATAATCCTAATTATTTTTGTGTGCATTCTTTTTCTCTTCATATGTAGAGATATTAAATTTTTTTCTTAATTGGGATCATATTAAATATACTGTTCAGTAATCTACTTTTTAAAACTTAATATATCACGATATTTTCCTCTTCCATTAGATATTTTTCTGTGATATCATACTTGGTTAATTTTTGTTCCTTTCCAGATCATTTAGAATGAACAGATTCTCTCTTTGAACATGCAGGTTGTTTTTTGTGAGTTATTAAGGCAGCTCTGTTAAAGCTGTTTTAGTACATGAGAAAGCACTTTTCATCCATCCTTAGAGGTTTATTAAACTTTTAAGATTATACAGCAGATCCTTAGCAGTTTGGATTTTGCATTTGAAATTTCAGCTCTGCATGTGTTCTTTATACTCATGGGTTTGGTAGTTTGTCTTAGGATTCTACTCACGGAATATACAGAAGAGGTTGCAGAATGGAGATGAAGTTGAAAATAACTTCTAAGTATCTTAAGGCATTTGTTTTCCATATCCTTTTTTACTGTGTATGTCCCTGCTCATGGAATTTTGTGTTTTCTTCAAAAAGTGCTCTTCCTTCATAGTTATCCTCTAACTCATCCCATGGTTTCCTAAGTAACGACTTTATAATGCTGAGTTTGAAAGCTATAATAAAATAAAAATTACTGAAAGCGATAATAAGTAAGGGCATGATATGCATAGTCAGCAACAAGCTGCATCTGTAGACTGGAAGTCTTTAGCATGCACGTAGTCGTTGAAGTGATAAACCACACCTGTATTTCCCAGCGAGCCATACCAAAAGAGAAGAGAATGGAGGAAGGAACCTTTAGGAACACAGAACATTGAAGGATGGCTGAGACAATGACAGTTCAAACAAGAGCTACATAGATGTGTGAGAGAGGAAGACTCTATGAGTTGGTGGCCACAGGACAGGCAAGGGACTTGGGGGAGGGGTGAGTTCTGGAATGCAGTCAGCAGAGCCAGGTGTGGCAAAGAGGTCTTCATGGATACGGGTGAAAAAGTATCCTTTGCATTTCATAGTTAGGTCATTGGACACCTTTAGCTCGTAAGATTTCAGGGAAGTTGAGGCAGGAGTCAGGCTGCAGGGCTAAAGATCAATGGGAGGTGGGGAAGTAGGGAGAGTGAGCATCAGTTGTTTTTTGAAGCTCTTGCCTATGAAAAGAAGGAGTGGGAGAAGGGTGCGTTAGGAGAGAAAGCGAGATTGAGGGAGTTACCTTTCTTGCTGGTTTTACTTTAAATAGAAATGAATGAGGTTTGTGTATATTTCTGAGTTGGGAAGGAGTCAGAGAGGAAAAGGTTAAAGCTACATAAAAGGAAGTGGAGGTCAAATATAAGAAATAATTGAGAAGTGTTTTCATGATAGCACAGGTTGGACATCCCTAATCCAAAGATCCAAAATACTCCAGTGAACATTTTTTTTTTTTTTTTGAGTGTCATGTGGGTGCTCAAAAAGTTTCAGATTTTGGAGCATTTCAGTTTTGGATTTTCACATTAGGGATGCTCAACCTGTATTCACATTTGCAGTTTTCATAGTCTTTTTCTTTTTAATAACTAAATAATAGACATTCTCACTCTGCCTTTTGATTAATAGGTCTTCTAATGCATGTATCAAAGCAAGCCCTTATAAATGTAATGTGGAGCAGCCTAAAAGGACACTTGCAAAGTGGAGGAAGCTTGGATGTAGACAAGAAATGTGGCTCTTATGGAGTTAGTCTGAACAGAAAATGATAATGCCATACCTCATATGTTACTCCTTCTGGTACTCCTCACTCCACAAATAGCTATTTGCTTCTTAACACAAAGTTGTGAGGCAGCCAAGGAGGGAGTTTGAGTCACCATTTAACAAGTGAGACACCCTGGGTGTCAAGTGACATAGCCAAGTGCCACGGCCAGGCAGTGGTGGCATTACATCTTGATGCTCCTCCTTCTCATTTCTGGGCCAGTGCACATTTAAGAACCTCATTTGCCTCCTTGCTTATAATCCCGTTCACTTGTTTAGTCTTACAAAGTGTTTTGACAACCATGGTTTCTTTTGATTCTCCCTCCAACCTTGAAAGAGCCAAGAGAGAATCTTCCCACAAATGGATCCTCATATCCAGAGAAGTACATGATCAGCTAAAATGCCTTGTCACTCTGAAATTCTTGGAGTTAGAATTTCCTGCCAGTGTCCTTTCAGGTCACCGAAGTGACAAACTTTAAGACATTTGACAGTTTTGTGTTCATCACTTCAAATCTGTTTAGAAACTAGTTGTTGAAATAACTGTGTTAAGGTCACTTTGGAAAAGTGAGGAAAGACTCGGCACACTGGCCAGAGCTTTGTCATCACTTTACTTTCTCCTCTTACCACATCTCTTCATTGGAGGTGGGAGACATATTGTTGGCTCATCAAATAAGTATTTTTCCATAGGAAACAGGCTGAACACAAGGTTGCTCAATTTACAGTCTCTAAGTTAAAGTGTGTCTTTTTGATTTACTTGAGAAAGTCATCAAAACAGAACAGGGGTCTACGGCCTCAGAATTAAAGGAACGGAGAGAAAACCTTTCATAGACTTCTTTATACTTCACTTACCAAGCCTAGATATGTCAGCCCAGTGTGGGTAGAGTGTTGGTAGCTTTAGTTACCAAATCAAGGTTGGCGTTGGGATATCCCAGAATTACATGGGGAGTTCTGGCTGCTCAGGAGACTGAGTTCCAGAGACTGGTTTAGTGGGATGAGGTGTCCACATGGCTCAATCATGAAGGTTATGGCAAAATGTTGGCCAAGGGCTTATAAGAGAAGAGGGTTACTCTCCCTTGGATTGGTTAGTAAAGAATTCAGGATAGAGGGAGTTGTTTAATGAGTATGGAGTTTCAGTTTTGCAAGATGAAAAAGTTCTAAAGATTGAAGTGATGAACCACACCTGTTTGGTTCACACAGTGTGAATATACTTAACACCACTGAGCTGTGTGTGCTTTAAAATGGTTAAGATGATAATTAATTTTATGCTATATATATTTTACCACTATTAAAAAAAAGAATGCAGGACAGATTGCCCAGCTGTATTACATAGAGTTAAGCCTAGCTTTTACCTCCTTTGTGTTAGAAGAGTGCCAGGTGTATTTTCCATGCCATTACCACATGTATACCATTCCCTCTCGGAACAATCCCTCTTAGTTTAACAACTACAACAACAAAAACCCTTGACTGAGCTCGGGAAAGCCGAGGCAAGTTTTTGGGAATACATCCCACCTTCTCACTGTACTTATGTTACCCTGTCTTGCTTCTTCCTAATTCATTTAGCCTTCGCGTAATGATCTGGCTTAGTTGCTTAACCAGAGTAGTCACCAGTGTTTGCCGAGAAGTCGTTTCAAAATAAGTTATTTTTATTAGAGACATATTGGGCAATGTAAAAGTATTACCATATGTAACAATGCAATACTAAAAAGCAGCTTATTATAATTGTGCTTATTAACAAAAAAAAATCAGGATAGGAAGGAGGGGCATTAAGGTATAATAATTTAAATGAATTTATATATCATGCCTTGGTTATATAGACTAAGTGCTTTTTTTAAAAAAAGAACAAAACCCAACTCTTTCTGTTAATTAACAGATCTACTAAAGTAGGCATAACTTGAAGCACTGTGGCACCACAGGGGTGGCTCTGGGTCAGAACTCTGCTATTCTGGGGACTAGACGCAGAGACCCCTGGCACCCAAGGCCTCAGTTCTGATGCCATTCTCTGACAAAAGAAACCAAGGCTCCTGGCTGATTCCAGCACCAGGGCCGGGAAAGTACGAGATGAACCTAGAATATCTTGTGCCAGAAAGTAAAGAATTGCTGGAAAAAAGGACAGGCTTGTCGAAAGAACACGGGAGCAACATAAAGGAGCTTCCAATTGCCAAATCTGGGACAATTTGAGAAAGAAAATAAATAATGACTGTAATGAGTTATATAGTCCACAGAATGAATTAATATTGATGTGTTTATAGTATATAAATAATTGGGTAAACATGTCAGTGGTAGGAGGGAGAGCTCTTCCCTATTCATTCTGACTGATGTGGAAGAAATGACGGGAACAGAAAATTGCTGTTTGACAAACCACAATGGTAATGGGTACAGACAAGAACACTCAAGTTAGGGGGCAATGTGTGTTGTGAAATGGGGTATCTGCAGAGTGTTGAGAACCTCCCCTGAAGATGCTTAGTGACTCCCAAGGGAACAGTAGTAACCTCACATTAGAGACCACCCTAGCTGTGCGGTCGTCACCAGAAACAAGCTGTGCATGCAACTCATAGCCCTGATACCGTGCACTGAGAACACGGCATCACTGCTGTGGTTTTCTTGCCCATCATGTCTCTTGTCCAAGTACTAACCAGACGCGACCTTGCTTAGCTTCCGAA